CTGCTGGAATTGCTTTATGCAAGATAATCAGGCCCAATATTTCTCTAGTTTCCTCTGAAAAGCAGAATGATGCAGGAACAAATATAATTGCCTTTGATATACACATTCTTGGTAATTTTTTCATGACAGAAGCCAGAAATGTCTATTTGATGTATTTGTAGAGACACAAAGCGTACATATATACTGTCTTTGAAAATAATTATTTATGTCTTTATGCTGACTTTGTAACAAGGTACCTCATTATATTAGTTCTGGCCCATATTTCAAGGCAAATTGACAGGATTTTTATACAGTTCATCATACTCACTGAAAAACACAAGATTTGTTGTGACAGAATGTGTTAATGTAAGAGTCGATGAAGAGAAGAAATGCACTATAATGATTTAGAGCAAGACTTCATATTGTTTGCCAACTTGGAATTAAAAAACCAAAACAAAAACAAACAAACAAACAAAAAAGAAACACAGCTTGAGAAATGGTACATGTTCCAAAATCCCATTCTCATGCTAAGTTCTGACTTATTTTAGAAATGTAATGAGACTGAGGTATTATTTGTACTGAAAGCAATATTCAAAGCACAGACTAGCCCATACTACACTGGACTTTGACTGACAGGATTGGTAGTTGAAAGTATGCAGTCAACCCTGAGCCGTGACCAGTGCAAGGCAAATCAAAGCCTCCGTATCAGGTTTCATACTATGACCTTGGCTTGTGACAGGACCTTCGCTCCTTACAATTTCCCAGTGTAAGACCGTAGCTTTGCGCTCACCCTGAAAACAGGATGAAGGGAAACACACAGATTAAAGCTCAGCACCACACCATATTCACTGCCATGCTATGGCTACTTTCATCATTCCTAAAGAAGTCAAAGGCCCTAGCTATTAAAATAAGAATAGCTAGGCTTTCTTTAAATTTTCTACTTACAGGAGAAAGACACTCGTAAGTTAAGTTGCATTCTCATTTCTCCACGTCAGCACTGCATACAAGTACAGTCTACACAGCAACTGTTCTTCAGTGATGTCACGGAGTTAACTAGATTGATCTATGCCCATGACAGGGGGGCAGTAGGCCCGTGCCCCCCTCTGGCCCCACAAAATGGGAAGGAAAAGGGATAGGGAGATGGGAGCTGGGCTCAAGGAAGGTAAAAAAAAAAAAAAAAAAAAAAAAAAAAAGCGGCAACGGTCTATGGAGGAAAACTATGATATTGGCATGCAAGATAACACAGTATAATACAATCTAATTGAAACTGAGACTAATAAACCAAATAAGATAGGAGAGAGAAGGAGTTCCTGAGATCAAGTCAAACCTGAAAAGCTTGGTATGGCTAGGAATGCACCCTCCAGCGCCCACTGCAAGGCAGTAAGAAACCACCCCACCTGGAAGGGCCAGATCCCATCATTTCCATGATGTACAGGGACAAGTACCTGGAGTTGGAGCATTAACACTTTATCTCCCAGAGCACTACATTATGTTATGATGTGGAATACTGAAAACCAAAAAACACAAAACCATGACAAGTGACCAGATACCCTTAGTCTGGGATAAGTCTACCAGATTTATTTTGCAAGTTATACAACAACTTAGCTATGGGCATTTCTTATTTCAAAGCATTTCACAGAGATCTCTTCTTAGAGCAGGTCTTCAGCAACAATTTATTCTATACTTTCTCCATTACAGAGAAAAATATGTCTTGATTTGAGGCTATTGCAATTTAGCAGTTTTTACTGATCATACATTTTCTGGGGCTTAGATGCAGTGGCAATGAGACCATTTTGGTCTAGTTCAGCTTGAGAGCAAGAGCATCCTTGCAGTGAAGAAACTGAAAACATACTACATCACACACAGCTCCCACTCAGTATGATCTGAAACTGTAGCAATTCACCTCATTTAGATCACTAATTAACATAAGGTGAAAACAGAATCAAAGATCTTAACAGAGCTTCACTCAGTGCATTCTGTAGTGACAGTGAGTACAACAGATGAGTATTCTACATACTACTTCTCATATCTTGCATGAGAAAATAAACCATGCTAGTTTACAGAGAAAGATAACAAAAATGTCAAAAATCATACTGAGCACACTGTACTTGGCAGGTACTCATGCTTTTTGTTGCTGTTTTCAGGGTTTTCATATGAGAGTTATTCCTCTCACTACCTTCTAAAGAACACAGCTCAATTTTGTAGTTATTTCCTTAGGTATTTTTCTGAAAGTTCAAGAGAAATCTTCATAATAAGTTGTTTTTCATAAGTTGTCTGCTTAAAAAAAAAAAAAAAAAAAGGCAAAATATTTCCCCTTCTTCAGACATTTGGCGGCTTACTTGTCCTTTGCAAATTCTTGAAAACGATTGCTAACCCCTTTGAGATATTCTGAGCTCATTAAGTATCTGGTCATGATTATCAACAGATTCAACTAACACAAACACCTCTAAATTAATCAAAACTTTCCTTAGTCAAGACTGATGTTAGCCTGTTGCCAGCATTCATTCTATGAGACATCAGTAGTAACCCCATTTTTGAAGACTGGCGCACAACAAGTGCAGTTGCCCACTTCCCATTCCCCACGAACAGAAATCTCCTTCTGCAGTCCCAAATAGTAGCAGCACCCAATTCATTCTTTTTTCTTCTTACCACAAAAGTGCTGTTGATTTCCAACTGTATTCTGTACTTCAATCTTTCCGACATTAGCCTTGAAAAATCACTAGAGAAACAGAAAAGTATGTTTTACTGTCCCTCATTTACAATTTTCTATAACGACTATTTCAAATAATGTAAAAGGTAAATAAAATTTTAGCAATTCAGCCTTTTTTACTTAGAGTCACTCTCCTACTGACAACAGCTTTTATACCTTTGCAGTAACAAAATATACAGACGTTTGATAATAATTTACTTGTAGAGAGCAATGGCACTGTACAACAGAAAACTGCCAAATTCCTTGGAGTTAATGCACCTCACGTGAGCTGCAATGCTGCACTCTGCTAGGCAGAACACCAACAAAACAAATTTCTGAGGATACAAATTTAAATGGTATTTTTGTTGTTGGAATAAAGACTGGCTAGAAGGATGCATTATCAGTGGCTTCCAGCATCACAAATTATTGTAAGCCCCTTGAACCTCTGCCTTACGCATTGCAACTTGAGTCTCTACTGTAAACTATCATAGTCTATAGTATAGATTCCAGGTATCACCAATTACCTGTTTTGCAAGCAGCTATGGCCTTCACAATTAGCCTGCCTTGGTGTGGAGAGGAATGCTATAAAATTCCAGAAAAGTCACAGCTTTATAACTCGTTGCCATCATGACCGTCTTCATGACTGGATACTCATTCTGTCCCCATCAGCACTCTTTGGTCTGTACACAGAGAATCTAGAGGAGAGCTGTTCCCTTCATAACCATGAGAACCAAAAGCTACTTCTGATAGATAAGATAGATGGATAAGATAGATAGATAAGCACAGATATGGTTTTAAATTTCCACACTGTGCTCTGACATTGTTCAGTCTCCTTATACAAACTCTACACTGTAGAATCTTGATATGCAGCTCACAGTGCAGCATATTTTGGAGCCTGAAATCATCTTTTGAAATATAGAGAGGGGCACATAACTTTTGCACAAAGAGGATCGGAAATAAAGACAAGCAGAATATAATAGACTAGTTCCCCAAATGGCTCAAACTAATGCAGTGCTAATGAGACAACTTCCCAGGGGTGCATTTCCAACAATTTTAATGACAAATACAGGTAGCTGAAATGTGTTCGTAGCAAAATTATTAATTTACTGCAGTACAGATTTGCATACTGTATGCTTAGGTGATGTTTGCTAGAGAAATAGACAAGGACAAACTACTCTCTGAGCATTGTTTCTCTCAGTGCTTCAACTCACTTTCTACAACTTATCTACAGAAACAGGCTCAATTGCTTTAAAATTCAGAGTAATTGGAAGAAGTTATTAAAATTACTAATGCTTCGAAACAATGGTATTGTGAATGTGAATTTCTACTGCTCAGTAGAAGATCATGATTACAGCTTCAGTATATATTAACACAATCACCTACTTAAATCTTCCAGTTTCATTAATGACATTTTTACAGCAGTGAGCAACCATTAAAATGCATGATGCTGGTGCATTACTGTTTCTCACTTACAAAGCTTCAGTTTTCTGATTTACAAAAGAACATAAGATTTAAGCAACCAATCAAACAGCACTGACAGCAAAAAAATCATTCTTAACAATCCACTTCATCCACACAGTCTCCAAAAACTCTTGTAAAATTCATACAGATATAAATGTCTGTGCATGAATGTATAGATGTCTACATTTATTTATGAAATAGGAAAGCAAAAACTTACAGAAATTCTGTTCATATTTTTCCTTAGTATCTACATAACTGACTTGCTCCACTATTAATTCTATTCTTAACTGATCCACATACCTGGTTTACTCCTGGTTTACTCCCTGTTGAGTCTGTAAATGACTTTTATATGCCACTATCAATTCAATGAAGAAAGCTTTTATTCCCAGCGTAACAGACCTTACACAGAGTAGACTTAAAGTTCCCTAAAATTTCCAAACTTCTGTTTTTAAACCAAAATATTTAATAAATGTACAGTATGCTTTCTAAAAAATATAGTCATGACAGGTATCAAGGGGTCTGGCAAACCAGAGGGGGCATCCCCTACAGTGTTCTATCAAACCCCCTTTTGTTCTATTTTCTTACTCTAAACTTACAAAAAGTCTTGGAAGTCTGTTCAATACTTTGGATACTTTTCAATGTGTGAGGTATCTCACTTATTTGCACTACACATTGAGAAATACAGAAGACCTATTCATGGTAATGCAGCTACACTGCTAACCAGCTCACATTCAGCTACAGGGAATGCATATATTTGCACATCTAAACCACACGTTCCTCTCCATCAGACAGCAGACAGCTCTTCTTCCAGATAAAACTGGTATCAGCCTGAGTTGTCCAATGTTATTCACATGCCACTACCAGTGCCTAGACTACCATATCAGGAAGGTGCTGGGATACCATGATGCCCATCTGTTTGTGGAGGTGGAAGAAGCAGCTACTCATCACTGGTTTTGTATCAGGAAAAATAAGACAAGTATAACAGCATCTTGCTCAGGAATCAGCTGTTTTCTAAAGAATTCCAGCGCTTTTGCTTTTCTTCCCTTTTATCCAAATTTCAGTTTCCGTTGCTAAAAAAATAAGAAAAGAGAAAGGAACTCCTTATTATCATGATAAGGTATAACCTCTCCAATAAAACTATTTATCTTCCCCATTGTCATGCCTTCCTTAAAGTTCAGTAGACAAGGTAAGAGCTTTGAATTTATTATTGCAAACTATAGTTAGAAAACACTATATGCAGTTTGAATTACTATACTTGCAAGAAAGTCTGCAGTCTTAGTTTTTAATTCAGCTGAAGTGCATAGTGAATAAAGCAGAAGTGTAAACCTGCTAAAAGCCTTCTGTATACAGTAACTGCTAATAAAAATTGGACTCTTCCCAGTTTTATGGAGGACTGTTGTGGGGTACTTTTGCTTGTACATTTATAAAAACCAACAAACAAAAAAATTGCATAAGTACTCCATAATCAACATGTCAGCATTCATTCTTAAAACAAATAATTTGCTATTTTATTAAGTGACAAAATGAGCTGCACTTAATTATATATTCTATTTTTGAGGTCTGATATAGTTTTATGTATTTTCTTAAGTGACTTAAGAGAAGACTTCAAACATTTTTACAGAATCACAGAATTGTAGGGGTTGGAAGGGACCTCCAGAGAACATCAAGTCCAAACTCCTGTCAAAGCAGGCTCCCTAGATCAGGTTGCACAGGTAGGCATCCAGTCAGGTCTTGATCATCCCAAGAGAAGAAGACTTCACAACCTCTCTGGGCAGCCCATTCCAGTGCTCCATTACCCTCACTGTGAAGAAGTTCTTACGTACATCTGTGAGGAACTTCCTATGCTTCAATTTCCTGCCATTTTCCCTTGTCCTATCACCACGCACTGCTGAAAAGAGTCTGGCCTCATCCCTTTACCTCCCACACCTTAGATATTTACGGACATTGATCGATCCCCTCCGAGTCTTATTCGCTCAAGGCTGAACAGACCCAGGTTGCTCAGCCTTTCCTCATAAGAAAGATGCTCCTGGCCCTTTACCATCTTCATGGCCCTCTGCTAGACTCATTCCAGGACACCCCTGTTTTTTTGTACTGGGGAGCCCAGAAACAATACTTTAGGTGAGCCCTGACCAGGGCAGAGTAGAGGGGAGGATCACCTTCCTCCACTGGCTGGCCACACTTTTTTTCATGCTCAGCCTTCTTGGCCACCAGGGCACATTGTTGGCTCATGGCCAACCTGTTGTTCACGAGGACCCCCAGGTCTTTCTCCACGGAGCTCCTTTCCAGCAGGTCATCCCCCAACCTGTACTGGTGTGTGTGGTTATTTCTCCCTAGGTGCAAGACTCCGCACCAGCTCTTGTTAAACTTCATCTGGTTCCCCTCTGTCCAGCTCTCCAGCCTGTTTTACAAGATGGGCTCTCAAAAAATAATAAAGGCAAAGAGTAACTTTATAAAAAAAAAAATAAGATTCATCCTGTGCATGACAACTGCTCTCAAACAACACCTATGTTCCACAATTCCATGACTCTGATACATAACTCATTAAAAAAAAACACATTATTGAAAGAAAGAATTTAGCAAGTAATGTTCACAGAAATTATGCAATATAGGTTTAATATTGATATAATCAGATTTTACAACTTGACAGTTGATGAAATTTGAAGCATACAAGATATTCTAAATTCAAGATTGCATTCTGACTGGTAAACATTTTCATCTAAATATTTAGAATAGATGAAGTTGTAAAAGTAGATAAAGTATAAAATAGAGTATTATAAAATATGAGTACAAAAATATTAGCAAATTGAAACAGACTTCCTATAAAAAAAACAATTAAACTTCTTGTTACCAGGTATCTTACTCAGTGACACTGTGATAAATCATTCACTGCTACAAATGCTTGGCAGAAATCATGACTTTGATCTCACAGTCACTGTTTTCAGTTCTAAGAACTTCTTTTCTTAGAACAATTGTTTCAAAAGTGAACTAACAGTACAAACAGGTGATATAAAAAAAATCTGGAACAAAACAGAAAGAAGAGAAGATGGCTTGTAGGGACAATACTTAATGAGCATTAATCTGTACTAGTTAGCTAATCCAGGAGGAAGCTACTCATCAAAATCTAAGTGATGCTTCAATCTTAGCAGAACTTGAAGGTTTAGCTTTGTAGAGCTACTTGTTACTAAAAGTTTTAGTAACTATAAATGCACTGCTGCAAAAAATATTCTGAGATGTCTATCTGACTCACAGGTTAAATTAGTTGTATTTAATCTGCTGCTAAATAATGAGCAGATGACATGATTTTTTTAAAAATGATTTTAGTAATTTCATATATGATTAAAATTTGCCTGAGCACCAAAATGTATCTGCAAACTAAGGCAACCATAATTACTTGTACAGTTGTCACGGAGTTGATCAGATCAATCTGTGTCCGTGACAGGGGCGGCAGGCCTCTGCCCTCCCCCCCCCCACCCCAGTCCCACAAAAAATGGGAAGGAAGGAAGGGAGGAAAAAAGCAGCGGCAACAATCTATGGAGGAAAACTTATTTTACTATAATATTGGAATACAAGATAACACAGTATGTACAATTTAATTGAAATTGAGATTAATAAATCAGACAAGATGAGAGAGAGAGTTCCCGGGACCGATTCAAACCTGAAAAGCTTGGAACGGCCAGGAAAGCACCTCCAGCACCCACTGCCAGGCAGCAAGAGAGCGCCCCCCCCACCCAGAAGGGCCAGATCCCGTCACTGCTGTAATGTACAGGGATAGGAACTTGGAATTGGGGCAGTGACACTTTAATGCCCCGAACACTACATGATGTTTTGATGTGGAATACTGAAACCCAAAAGCAAAAACAAAAACAAAAAACATAGAACCATGACAACAGTGTGGGTAGAAACAGGATTAGTTACAGGTGTACTGAAAAAGAAATAGATAAAACTTTTCCATTAAATATATTTTTATGACCTACAAGCAAAATAGAGTGGTTAACCACACGTAAACTGGAATCCAAAAATTCTATGCACCTCTAAGATAGGAGAGCAAAATGTTACAACTGGATTAGTAACAAAGCTTTCTCTCACATCAACATCATGTCCATTAGAAAGATCTACTTTGAAAACTACCTTTATTGTGCAGCCAATCAAAGATGTATGGCACGTGCATGGCACTGGCAAAATGCAGAATTTTTATGGTGAAGGTGTGGAAGTGGTCTTTTAACCATCTCTATTTCCAAATCTATGGAATTATATTTATGTTACAGTTATTACACTAGAATATATTAACTACTTCCTTCATTTACACTGCTGGATATAAGCCATAAATAGTGAAGCTTTCACTGTCAGAAAACCCAAGCTCTCACTGAGGAGAAAACTCTGATCATTAAGAGAAGCCATGATGAAAGAAAGACGCACATCTCTGCTTGTATTCTTCTCCCAAAGAGCTATCTAAAACATTCCCAGTCCAGGTTCATGGTCCAGATGACTTCTACAGTCACAGAAGAGATGCAACATTTTCTAAAGGGACATTTCAGTACAATCATCTTCAGAAATAAGAAATTTCCAGCCTCTCTCTGTTTACTGCCTAAATGACTCCAGATATCTCAGCCAAAGCAAAATCTCCCATCCTTTCCAGGCAAAAAAGGCACTGAATTCATGCAGAAGCAATATGCAAAACCTCATGAAATCTCTGTGTGAAAATGAGTTCTGTATTCCCTAGGGCTTTGAGTGTAAAACATTACAAGTAAGATGAGCTAAAAGAATTTCTAAGAAAAAAGTCAAAAGCATATTAAAATGCTGTGGAATAATTTACGACTGGCAATTGTAATGATGTGATATATCATTAGTGATTATAACCAGTTTTTTCATTAACTTTTCAGAGTTAATTTCAAGTAATGAATTCATACTTAAAACTTACTGTACTGTATGATTGAGCCCTACATCTATAAAGAATATTGGAAAACAGTAAAATAGTTCCTAGTTTTAGTCGATATTTTATGGCTTAAGGTGACAGCAGTTAAACAAATGGAAGTTATGCCTGTTTGACGTTCTAGATACCCTAGAATTTACATGCTAAAGCTGTTCTAATTTCTCATCAATTGAACTCTGCTGCCTTAAAGCTGCTATCAGAAATACATAGACATAAATGGCTTTTAAATTGTGTGTGGTTATTTTCTTCTCATTTTCTTTAATTTTGAATTAGAGAACAGTAACAGGAATATATTAATCAAAATGTAAACTTCGCTAAGCGTTTTGCTGAGATAAAAATGGATGAGTGGTTGCAAATGTAATACAAGGTAGGGAACATGAAGCATTTGAAATTCACAAGAGCACAATCTCCACAGCCCACTTCTCTGAATTTTTTGTGTGATAAAGCAAATACTTCCTACAGAATACCAGAAGTTGCAGCACTTTTTGATAAAGAAAAATTCAACTCAAAAACTAAAAAAAATAGATTTTTAACTTTAATTTTCCGATAGATCTAAACTAAGAGCTTCCAAATCTGAAGACAACATCTTTATATAAATACAGCATTAGAGAATAGAATATTTAAACTACAATACTGAATCACAAAATGACTTGGGCTGCAAGGTACTGTGAAGCTCATCCCATTCCAATCCCCCACCAGCTCAGCTGCCCAGGGCCCCATCCAACCTGGCCTTGAGCACTTCCAGGAATGGGACACCACAGCTTCTCTGGGCAGCTCTGCCAGCACCGCACCGCTGTCTGAGTGAAAAATCTCCTAAGATCTAATTTATTTCTTCCCTCTTTTAATTTAAAAACTTTCCCTCTTGTCCTATCATGGACTTAAAGAACATCTAGATTCAATTCAAGTTCTGATGCATTTCACTTGTGCTACAACAATAAGCAAGCATGTATTAAATGAAGGTGTACTGAATTGCTCCTAGAGCTCATTTTTCAACCAAAATAAAAAGTGAAAAATGGTTCTTCCTCTATTTCTCTCTCGTGATCTAAGATTATAAAACAATCAGGCCTTCTAGAATTTCTCAGTATTTGCTTTATGCGAGTCACAGTTCTTGTGATGCTTTTTATTTTTTTGAACTGCAGC